GAATTTATAGAATAAGAGACCTATTTGACGCAGGGAAACCAATAACAATTAGACAGAAGACAAAACAAAGAAAATAAAAGCTAATTGGCTACAATTAATACAGGTAAGAAATTTGGCAACTCATTTATACCACAGTTCTGGACCTACAGTATAAGAATGCTCATGGAACTAGAAAAATATAGTATAGAAAAAGATCGAAATAAAAGGAAGGGAATAACTTCAGTAAAATATAAGTATTTGGTTGAGAAAACATTTTTTTATTTTATTTTATTTTATTTATTGTATTTATACCTCGCCTATCTAGTCATTTCGACCACTCTAGGCGGCTTCCAACATATATAACAACATATAAAATATAACAAAATTTTTAAACATCAATAGACAAGTTATTCAAGATGGAAAAAGAGAGAACAAAAAGAACAAAAGAATATGGGAAACAAATTTGAATATCAATATATCAGAAAAAGAATGGATGGAAATATGGGCCACATATCCATATAAATCAATATCAGTTAAAACAAAATAAATGGTTTTGAAGGTAGTCCACAGATGGTATTGGCACCCCATAAAATTACACAAAATTAATGGGGAAATCTCAGATATGTGCTGGAGAAACTGTGGAAGTAAAGGCACACCAAAACACATGTGGATCTCTTACCCCAACGTGAAGCATATTGGTGGGAAATAATTAAATGGATAGAAACACTGTTGAATCAAAAAAATAATTTAAAATGAAGCTTTATTATTATTTTCAATATTTAAGGATGGAAATGAAAAATTATTTAATAAAGACCTAATTGTGCATCTTTTTGGTGCAGCAAGAGCTAAAATTGCACAAAACTGGAGAAATGCTCAAGATCTTTTACGAGTAGTACAAAAATTTGAGACAGAATCTGGCAAATGGTCCTGATGGAAAAGTTGACCAATATTGAGGACAATCAAATTAAAATATATAGAGGGGAAATAAAACAAGATAAATTTATGAAAACCTGGCAGCCATTATTAACATATGGAATTAGCTCAATAAGAATGTGAAATGGGAAGTAATTTGGGTTGCTGGCATGTAATATTTTAAAAGA